CCTTCTGATTAGATCAAATATTTTATGTAGGGACATTGTAACTACACTTGATACCATCCTTGTTGAGCTACTTAGGGGAGAAACTAGGATGATTACTCAGTCAACAATGAATGCTAAGATTGATGGAGTGGAGACTGTTTTTAGTGGAAGATAAGTCCAAATCAAGGGACTTATCCAAAGTGCAATGATATGAATGTAAGGAATTTGGGCATGTCACATATCACTACAAAAAGAACACTTGTACTTATTGCAAGAAGCATGGACATATTATTACTAAATGTCCTACTAGGCCACCTAAGGGAAACCAATCTAGAGAGAAGAAAAATCAGCATGGGGCCTATTAGACTGTTGTTGAGGGATCAGATGATGCATTATCTTCCAATGCACAAACCAAGAGAGATTCAGCTAGTGTTGTTATGATTGAAGAGAAGACTCGGCAGCTAATGTCCTTAGCAATCTCTTCTACCTTCTCTGCTTTTGGCTTGTTTGTTGAGTGTACCTACTATTGTGCTTCCCCTAGTCATCTTTGGATAATAGATTCTATCGCCTCCAATCACATGATAGGGGGCCACTTGTGATCAGTTTTCTTTCCCCCTTCCCTCTAATAGACGTATTGTTTACAACTAATGGTGAAAATTGAGAAACTTGATATTGTGGGTTGTAATGATCTCTCTGTCTACCTCTCAATCTACCCCTTTCAAATTGCCTCAAACTTTATTTGTTTCTCATATTACTATCAATTTAATACATGTTGGTTAACTTGTTGAACATGGCCATACTATCACTGTCTCACATAATGGTTGCTTGATACAAGACCAATGCATTGGGGAGGTGAAGGAGAAGAGGTGTAGATTGGGATAGTTATTTGCTCTAGAAATTGAGAAGAATCTGACCTCTTCTACTACTAGTTCTTGTTTACTATCTACTACTTTTTGTCCTGTAATAATGACTGGAACATTTGGCACCGAGGTTTAGGCCATCCTTTTGCAAGAAAAACCGATTCACTTATTTCATCTGGTTGTTAGCCTTTATCTACTTCCGCTTCTAAGAATGTTGACCTCCTGGTACATTTAAAGGTTTCCCAAGCTTCCCTTACTAAGTAAGAAATTTCCCTCATTTTCTATATACATGTCCAAACTCCCAAACTCTTTATTTGAAGCCAGCCTATTAGTTTAGAGTCTCCTTCAACCTCAAGACTGTGAATTCCCCATTGTTTAGCCAATCTCTAGCCTTGGAGTAGTGCCAAAATCTAAACCCTTAGTGAATCACCCATGCCTATTAGTCTAAAATACAATGAAATCAGTCTACCCTCCCCATCTTTGAAAACTCCCCCAACTCCAAAGGGACCCGGGTTACCTAAGGAGATTCCATAAAAGTTCAACTTCAACCTTTATTGCACTGAATACTCCCCCTAAAGAAATGTAATTTCTCTTCCACCCTACAAGCCTCTTTGAGAATCTTTCCAAAACTGGGTACCAAAAGATTTCAAAGTTTGGGTTCCCCCCCCCCCAATGGTAAAACAAATATAGTAACGGCCAATCCCCTACCCCACAACCCAACAACCTAGCAAAGTTTTCCACCTCTTCTCCCTCTTTATTAAATGTGTCACCACCACTACATCTCTCCCAACTCTCCAACCTCTAATTAGATTATTAACATCAGCCCTTAAAACCAAATTATTAGAACATCGGCTACTAAAGTTAATAGAAAAGGAGACAGAAGATCTCCCTAACAGAGACCCCTCCTAGCCGGAAAGAAATCCCTTCCATTAATCAAAATAGAATAGTGGCAGGAGGAAATACAACCCCTTACCCACTTACACTCTCTCCAAAATCCCTAGATTTCAACACTTCTAGTAAGAAGTCCCAATCCACCATGTCATAAGCTTTCTTTAAATCCAATTTACAAACCAAGCCTTTTTCTTTTCTTCTCTTCTTGTGGTCCACACATTCATTCGAAATAAGAATTTGATCAATTATTTGTCTCCCAAAAACAAAAACACCTTGATTTGGAGAAGTTAAGAAATGAAGAACTCATTTGATCCTCTTAGCCAGTACCTTAGTGATGATTTTATACAAGCTTCCCACTAGGCTTAAGGGTCTGAAGTCCTTTGCTTGGTTTGCATCCACCTTCTTAGGGATCAAAGCAATAAAAGTCACATTTGCTCCCAAGCTTGTCCACTTGCATTCCTTGGTCAAGACTTGTCCATTCCATTCTAAGTGGGAAATAATATTTCTTATTTTTCTACCATTTGCTATCAAATGGAAGAAACTTGTATTGCATCAGCTTCCTTTAACCACTTGCATTAAGATTTTTGTCTCCAACTAATACCCTCTTTCCTCAAGATCTCTTGTAATTCTTGTTTTAGCCTTCGTCTTCCTTCTTTTCTGTGTCCTCTTCCCCCTTTAAGCCCATCTAACTCCCCTATCCCGTGCGCAATCCAATCCTTTATTTCCTCTAACCTCCCAAGGACCTCCTTGTTTCAATTATTAATCCTAGTTTTCTGCCTTTGAAGTTTCTTAAAAAATCTATACCACCTAAACTCCATCTGATCTTCCTTCCACCACTCTCACTTTTATTTTGAAGTTGGGATGAAGTACCACATATTTTCAAATCTATAAGGGCAAGGACCTCCTCTCACTTTTTCTTGAGATGGTCTAATTGGGCAATAATCCAAAGTAGTTCTTGATAAGGCTCTAGCTACCATCCCCCTCCAACCTTTCTCCCATTTTGAAGAAAAAAGAAAGCTATCCAGTTTGCAACAAATGGGTGCCACTTGAAAGTTTGACCAAGTAAAATTTGCTTGTAACAAAGGTAGCTACCTCAGTTTATTAGAATCCAGAAACTGATTGAATTTTCTCACACTATAGGTAATCCTATGGCTAGGATTGTTTGTTTAATGTAAGAACCTGATCACATTAAAGTCACCTCCAAAACACCATGGACCCTCCCAAAGGCCTTTGCTGCTAATTTCTCCCACAGGCCCTCCCTTTCCCTATAAAAATTGGGCACATACATATTCATCAAAACCCAAACTACTCCATCTTTTCTCTTTAATTTGACCAAAATCGTGAAATGTCCAATCACTTCCTCCAAGCACTCTAGGTCTTCATTTCTCCAAAAAGTGAGAGTTCCTCCTGAAGAGGCCCAAGATTGTGAAAAAGCCCAACTAATTCCTCTAGCAGCCCAAGTACACCTTGCCCACCTTATCCACTTCAGGCAATTTGGATTCTTAAATCAACACTATATCTAGTTTCTCTCTCTCTCAATAGTTCTCTGATCATTCTCCTTTTTCTTGAACTTCCCAAACACCATAGATTCCAACTTATTATCTTTATGTAAAACAAATTAGAGTTGTCCATTTGCAAGTTTACTCCTCTTTCCTTCTTTCTTTCCTTCCTTTCCAAATTCCCTTTGTCATAGTCCACTTCACACCTAAGCCTCCCTGCCTCTCTTTTGTTTCCACAGTACCTATCACCTCTGTTTCTTTAGACGATTTACTAGCACTGGCAGACTTTTGAGTAGGTCTGGCCTTACCTATGAACAAAGCAGAACAAGGACTAGAAGAAGCATTAGTATCAACAAAAATTGGACAACACAACTTACCTTCGGAGGGCTATTGTCGGGGGTAATTTCCTTAGAATCAACTCCTGTACTTTCAGCCTGGGGAAGTGGATATGTTGTAGCCTTTTCATTCAACTGTGGGTTAAGATTACATCTGCCATTATCACCATGTAAATGATCCTTGTCTACAACTAGCTCTTCCCTCCCTTCCATTCCAGACTTCTCACCGGAGAGAGCATTCTCCTTCCCCAAGTCTTGTTTCAACTTGGTCGAAGTCTCTTTTTGTGTCTCACTACTTTCATCTTCAGATTGCAAAGTCAAATTGGCTTCATCATCAAGCCCAAAAATAGATTTGCATTTACTTCCCATACTTCCTATGCTGGACTCTTCAAAAGAACCTTCGACATCCATATTCTCCTCTCAGGCTGACCCAGTCTGAATCAAAGTCCTCATCCTTTTCCTTTCCATAATCATATCTCAGATTTGGGCCATTTGGCTTCTTTGGGCTTATGGAGTTAGAAACCAGCCATGATTTCCAGACCCAAACCACTCCCATCACTGCTGTACTTTGCACCTTAGACATGAAGACTTTCTTTTGGAACGATGATAGAGCATTAGAAATGTCTAGCAGTGCTTAATTAAAGTCTAACTTAATATCCTTAAAATCTTCTTTATCAGTAAAAATGTTCAATATCCTTAAAGTCTTCACAAGCTAATACCCAATGGGCTACCCCATTACCTTGATCAGTTTGATCAAATACATGCACCTCCAACTCTTTGTTATCAAATGCTCTTGCATTTCTTTCTCCCAGTATGCTCCATATGATTGGAGCCCTTATGTAATGCCACATCAGTTTCATTCTATTAGTTCTACAACCGAGAAAATAATGTGAAAAAGATCCAAAATATTTTGAGGGGCAGACCAAGATTTACTGAACAAAGAGAAGAAATAGTTCTATACCTGACAAATATAGTGACACGATAAGAAAATGCGGTTTGAGTTTTCACCACTTCTGATACAGACAATGCACACTACTGGATGCAAGATTATCGGTTTTTATATTTTACATTAGTATAGTCAGATGCTGAACAAAGACTTTCAAAATTCAGAGGATAGAATTGCCAATCAGATAAGATTGCTAGATTATCAGTTCTTATATTTTACATAAATAGAATAATCAGATGCTAAAAAAAACCCTTCACCAATCCAACAAACTGGTAGCTTAGATATGGTTGTACTTCTATTTCTCTTTGTGATATCATATCACCTGTCTTTGTATTCCTTTTATTTTAATAAAAATTTCCTTTGTTATCAAAAAATTGTTGAACAAAGATGTTGCAGGCCTTGAGGCATGTTGTAGAGAAAGAACTAGGAACACAAAACCTCCACTTAGTCTGAAGATAACCTAAAAATAATGGCCTAGATGGAACCTTACATTCACATAATTTCCATACATTCCTGGTGGACGAGGGCATTCTATAGAAGAATTAGTTTCCAATTTTGGGCATGGACTGCATTTTCTTAGAAGTGGCAATCCAAAAGAGATGGTTGAGGTTATCAGAGAGATAAGGCATGCTTCAATAATCTGCAACAATGAAAGAATAAATTTAGACAAAAAGGTGATAATTGGATGATATTGCGAAGACGGATCTAAGCCACAAGGCCCACAACAAAATAATATGAATTGCTACTTTATATCAAACCTTAACTCTGTTTCCCTTTTTGTGTAAATATTTACGGCGCCAGTAAGTTATATACAGAGTCAGCTGATTAAATAAGGCCCCTGAAAGGAATGAACCATTAAATAACATCAACAGATGATCAACAAATAATAGGAGGATATTAATATATAGACTGTTACAAGAATCTCATAAGACCTACCAAGAAGACCTCCAATAACCCCAATGACAGCCATTGGCAATAATTCCTCAAATGAGTAGTCATTTTGACCACTTTAAAACAGAGCAGTGCCAGTTAGAACAGAAATACAAGTGGCTTAAACGAGAGAAATGTCCCAGAAGGAAAAGTTTAGATTCTGACCCAGATATGTCCCAGATTATAAAACCACCAGAACCAAAATGCCCACACTTTCCACTTTTACACCAGCCCATTGCAGTGCGCACCACAACAGCGACAACAGCAGATGTGAAAAAGACACGCCACATTAGTTGGCTCCTCCACCTTTAGAAACAAATAAATAAAATATGTAAATAAAACAAAAAAACAAAATTTTGGGAAAAACTGTTTTCCAGTACGAGTTTGAGTGTTTTTCTGCCTCTTTATATAACTAAATTGTAAAAGAAAAAAGAAAGAATAAAACTACCAAGATGTAACCTCTTCTAGGGCAAATAATACACCACCAACTGGAGCTCTAAATGCAGCAGCAACTCCAGCTGCACATCCACAGGTTACCTTTCAAAACATTAAAAACTGGTGAAATTGAGAATAGCACATATGGTAGCACTTTATCTTATCAGGAAATAGCACAAAGTAATGGCAGAAAATGGTTGTCAAAGCAACACCTAGGCAACATGATACTTTCCCAAGGTCACCTTGCATGGATTACATTTGTACATGCATTTGTGGTTTAAGTGAAGGGTTGCAACTTGCAAACAGATTAGATTTGAACCATATATACCTAGGGGAGTGGTATAGATAATAAGCACCTTTAACACACGGGGGGGGAGAGAGAGAGAGAGAGAGAGAGAGAAAGAAAGAGAGGGAGAGAAAGAGAGAGAGAGAAGTGATTATGTTCCTTGTATATATCCCTATGTTGGGTCATTATGAGTGTATGAAGAACGAAAGATCAGGGCTCTTGATCCCTTTGTAGTTATGCTTTGAATTGGATCAAGGAGGTGTTATTCAAAAAATTTATTTCTTTTCGAAATCAGGTGTAAGCTGTAAATGGAAATAAGAACAGCAACAGTACTGAAGTTTAGTTAAGAAATATGAAATAAAAATAAGAGAAAAGATCAGATCGAGAGGAACAAGAATATGGAAAAGAATAGGGAGGAGAAGAGAATCAAATGTTCTCTAATTCTTTCCTAAATTGTGTTTTATTAGCTTGATCATAATAGTGGTACATTTACAAGGATGCCTTTAAGTAACAACTAAGTCCCACATAGAAAAGGCCCATTAACAAAAAGAAACATGGACATAAAAAGAAAGAGAACTAATGAGTGGTTGGCCCATCATCTCTACAATCCCCCTCAAGACTAGAATAGATGTCAATCATCTCTCCTTTCCTTTTCACTTTGGTAGATGACGTGTTTAGTAGGTTCATTTCGAGAGCTGATGGTTTGGACATGTTTAGAGGACGGAGGGTAGGAAGAGAGGGTATTGTGGTAACACACTTGCAATTTGATACAATCATTTTTTGTGAGACTGGAGATCCCTTAAAGGCTAGGAACTTGAAACGAGTAATAAAGTTGTTTGAATGCATGTTGAAGATGAAGGTCAATTTTGAAAAGAGTTGTGCAGTGGGGGTAAATTTGGAGACTGAGGAGTTGAGTGAGGTAGCAGAGTCCTTAGGTTGCCTTACCTCTAGCTGGCCTTTGAAGTACATGGGTATGCCTTTAGGAGATAGTCTCAGAGAAGGAAGATTTTGGAATTCGATTGTAGAAAAATGCACAAAGAAGCTAGCAGTTTGGAAGAGAATCTACATTTCCCTCAGGGGTCGTATCACTTTAATAAGAGCTACTCTTGCGAACTTGCCAACTTACATTCCCTCAGTCTTTAGAATGCCACAAAAGGTGATTTTGAAGGTAGAGAAATTCATGAGGGATTTCTTGTGGGATTCAGGGGAAGGGAGGAAGGATCATGTGGTTAAGTGGGAAATAGTGTGTAGGAGGAAGGAGCAGGGGGGTTTGGGATTAGGCAATCTAAGGAAGAAAAATATAGCCTTAATGGTTGTGGAGGTGGCCTCTAGAAAGGGAAAGACTTTGGCATAAAGTTGTAAGAAGTGTGCATGGTGTTGCAGGCAATGGCTGGGATGCTGGTGTATCTCAGCGGGCTACGCTGAAATCTCCATGGAAGGGTATTCATAGTATTCTTCCTGTTTTCTTGAACCTGATTAGGTATGACGCTTGTACTGGAGATAGGGTTTTGTTATGGGAGGATGTTTGGATTGGTGACTTAACCCTCAAGGACCTCTTCCCCTCCTTGTATTCCATCTCGTGTTTTAAAAACGAGCCAATTCAAAGATTTGTGCCTCCTCCTTTTCTTCTGGTATAAACTGGAATCTGGGTTTTAGAAGAGATTTGAGAGATTCTAAGCTTGACCAGATTGCTTTGCTCCTTAAACTATTGATCCTGTTTGCTTGGACCCTTCTTCTCTAGATACCCGTATTTGGAAGCCTTTGCCCTCGGGATCCTTTTCTTGTGCTTCTTTCTTTGCTTCCTTGTGCTCCTCTCTGTTACCTCAACCGTTTCATAGCAAGGAAGTTTGGTCCAAACCTGTCCATCCAAAAGTGGGAGCCCTTTGTTGGGAAGTCTCCCTTGGAAAAATCAACACTTTGGATGTTTTGCAAAAAAGAAGACCTAGTCTTTGTATCTCTCCTAACTGGTATACCATATGCAAAGCAAATGAAGAAAGTTGCTACCATATACTAATCACTTGCCCTTTCGTTGTAGGCCTTTGGGAAAAGCTTTTTGATCTTTTTGGGTGCAGGTGGACAGAACCAGAGCAGATTTGCAATCTTTTTGACCCTACAACTTTCAGGTGGCCAAAGAGAAGAGGAAGAGTTTTGTGGAAGTGTGATAGAGCTGCTTTGGTGTGGACTGTGTGGGAGGAACTAAATGCTAGAGTCTTTAATGACAAGGAGAGGGATCAGACATGTGTGTTAGAAAGTATTTTATGTAGGGCCATAAGCTGGGTAAAATCCTTAGACCTGTTCTCATCCTACACTTTTGATGATATACGTAGGAATTGGGAACAACTAGCCAAAAGTTCTCCAGTCAGAAGCAAGTCGGTGCTGGATTGGAAGCCTCCTGATGTAGGCTTCATTAAATTAAATTTTGATGGCAGTAGTTTGGGCAACCCGGGGCCATCTGGAATAGGGGGAGTTTTTAGAAATGATGAGGGCCAGATTGTAGATCTATTTTCTGGTCCTATAGGGATGGGAGATTCAGTCAATGCAGAACCCCAAGCTGTGATACAAGGAGCAGAAATTGCAAAGAGTTGGCAGTGGAGCATTTAATGATTGAAGGTGACTCCAAATTGGTTATTGGATGGCTAAAAGAACCGGAGATGGCAGCCTGGCCTTACAAGGGGGCTTTGAGAAGATTTAAGTGGCTAACATCAAATATTTCAGTCACAGTTCAATGGGAAAGAAGATCGGCAAATGGGCTGGCAGATTTCCTAGCCAAACAAGGAGTACATAGGAATCAGCTCTTTTGGGCTCAATTGTAAGCTTTATGAAGTAGTTTGGAGGCTGCACCTCGTGCCTCTTTGTGGGCAGTTGTATGATGTATACTATGTTTTTTCTTTTTAATAAAATTATCATTATCTATCAAAAAAAAAACAATTCAAATTTAAATGTTTCATTTTATGAAAAGGATATGATACTGCAGTGTTACAATAAAGAATTCATTCACAACTAACTTACAGGGAAAAAAAGCCTTAAGAAAGATAATCATATCTAACTTCAATGGTGTACTAAGATGTATGACACAAGTTACTACAACAAGAAAGGAAGAAATGAACAAGTTATGTAACGTAGCATATCTCAAACAGCATAAATTACTTACAAGATCGCGCCGATGTCGATCACTTTTAAACATATGTAGCCACCTTGAGTTCAGATGATACTTTGTAGATCCACCCTGAATATATGTACAGCATGAAAAATTATATAAATATAAATATATATTCATAAGAATAGACTCTTATGAAATGTATGTTATATATGAACCAGAAAAGCATGTACAAGCAAAGAAGAGTTTGTGTAGCTTCCTTGCAGGAATACATACATACATACATACATACATATCAATTTTAAGAATAAAGTAGCATAAAGCCTTTATATATCACAATATAGTGGGATCATATATGCATGGGAAGTAGGAGTGTAGGACAGGGACACCAAAGCACACAAAGAAGACTTTTCTTTTTTTTTTTTCTTTTTGGTAGAATACAAGGAAGACTTTTTGTTTTTTGAAGAATACTTTCACAGTTTATATTTCCACAGAAACCACCAACCACACCTGTAATTAGAAAAAAAAAAAA